AACTGGTTTGTATGCTGAAATATATGAAAACGATTTTATTTACAGACGGAGCCTGCCCATGTCCGTCCGACTTTGTAGGGGATATGTGCGTGGAAACGTGTGACGTTTGTGTTAACGAAAGGAGCATCAGTCGGCTTTGCTGTACTGATCCTCGCTGTCCACCTCCTGAATATCTGTCTGGACAATATCTTGGAGGTATTTCATCATTTTTGAATTGTGAAGTTTTATTACACTTGGTGTATTTTTATCTTTATACATTTTGACAAAATGCTACATAAATTCTGTCGTATGGTCCGCCAAAACACCATCACATGAATACTCAACTTCTTTATTTGTTCTAAGGTTACTGTGAAACGAATTGTACTTTCTACAGACAATTTGATGTTTATAAAGAAAACTGTGAAATATGGTAAGCATGTGGCAGATTAAATACATCTACATTTAAATTACACCACTACCATCAGTACATTTAGATGCTCAACTCTTTAGGAGCAGTTAGTGGATTTGTCGGTTTTATTTTTTTCTTTACTCTAAGTTTCGATAAATGATTTCCATGGTCTAAGATTGAATGCTGAATTAAGGTAATTTAGACATTCCTAAAGGGAACTAAGAATGCTACCAGAACAACATATTACTCGATTGCTTAGATATAAACTAATATGGTAGTGCATATGCCGTGCCATGTTTGTTTACGAGATTACATGACGGTCAATATCCTAATTGTGTTTTTTTTTAATATTTGGGCTATTGAAACACCAGATTTCATGCGAGTGACATAACATTTGCAGAAGACGTTGGTAACCCTGTAATGTAATATGTTCATTGATTTGTTTGTGGGTTTGTAAATTCATCTTATTTACTAATTTATTCAATCATCCATTTATTTATATCTATTGATTCGTTCGTTTATTATTTATGTATTAGCTTATTCATTCATTCATTCATTCATTCATTCATTCATTCATTCATACTTTCATTATTTTATTGAATCAGCAAAACTCTTCATCGTAAATGAAATATATAGTTTAATGTAGTTTATTCACTCGAATAAATTCAAATATATCCAAATAGCCATTGAAGTGTTTGTTCTTTTTGCATAATATTTGCATAATATTTGAGTACTTTTTGTTGGCTTGAATTACTCTTAACCCATTATTACTGTACCAGGCGATAGAGGCAATAAACATGTGTAACAATTTCTAAATGAAGTTTGATACTAGAATATTATTCTCTTTTGCATAATTCCCACATCATTAACCATTATTATGCCACAACATTTCACATACACTCATATTGTTATTTATTTATTTATTGGATTTTCCTCGGTATACATACAAGATTCATGTAAGAATCAAGGCAGAATCTGTGACCAGTGGCAATCATCCATTCTCTACGGGATAGCTCTGTCAAATGTGTGTCACACACTGCCACGCTATATTTGTATTCGTCTCTAAAAACAAATGCATTTTCACTTAGGTTTCCTAATTCGTTTTTTTATATCTCGCGTTTTGTCTTTGTTATACATAGAAAAAGTTTTTAAACTTTGGAAAATGTCGGAAAATTAAAATTAGTATTAGTTACTATTAGTTTGCCTAGAAACCACGTGACTGTGTTTCTTCGTGTCCGGTTCGCCTTACGTCGTACGCCATGTACGCATTACGCGTTGTTGCCACGCACAGTAATAAGATTACGCAAGATTCAGTGACGGTCGCGTCACGTGATTGGCAATTGTTTTTTCAAATTAAAATGGTCGCTGAACGATGATGGTCTTCGACAGCAAACTTTTCTCTTTTATACGAGGCTAAAAAAAATATATTTCCGTTTGTTTTCGACAGGTTTCAATCACTGTTTTCGTAATAAAAAAATGTTGAGACAGCTATCTGCATAACTGCATTTGAGAGACAGAGCCAGGGTGTGACGTCTGTTGATTTTGCAATTTCCCACTGGACTACAGACAGAAATTGCGCACCCTGGTTTCACAATTAATCATCGTATATCGCAAAACTACATGATTTGGTTCAATATTCTTAGTTTCAGCTAAGGAATACCTTTGTATCCAAGACATAACGTCTTTGTTTTAGCTTTTCCGAAATCAGTGCGATCAAATGTTTAAACAAATAACTATAAAACACATTTTCTCGGATAGCATTTATTTTAAACCAAACATATATCATCGAAGCCATGTGAGTAAAGCAAAAACTTATTACACAATACATACAGTGGTTGTTTCCACCATATGTAATGTATATAATTGATATTTAATGTATCTAGTTTGCAAAAAGTTGCAAACGACGTACTTGATGAACCATTTATTTATATGGAAGAAGATGTATTATACAATTATAACTGGAGATGCACATGTGATAATATGATTAAATATATGTCCTTTCCGGGATACGACGCCACAATTTAATCGATAGGGAGTCGGAGGGTGACGTGAGACATAAACAAAATTACTATACTTACTTACTAACTATTTATTTCTAAAATACGCAAGAACAATGTGTAGATAGATGAAAATGAAATGAACATAAGCGTTGTAGAATATGTCAATACCGAAATAAACCTACACTTATATCGTTTTAGCCTCCCCTGAGTTATATAAAAAGTAAACTTTTAACATACTTTGACACGCTGGTAAATTAGAGATTAAAATGATTGACACAACAATTATGTTTTGCACGTAGCTGCATTGGTGTTCGAACGCTACGTGTGGCGATAGTAAATAACTCTTAGAGTTTGTGTACAATAGATTTGAATATTCACATTATGTAGGTGGTGTGTTGTCTCTGACAATATGTGCCATAAGTGCTAAAGCTTGAGTGGGCTTGATTACGTGGCAGACACCATGTTTGTCATATTGTTAAAAGCTTGAGTAGGCTTGATTACGTGGCAGGCATGCTTATCATATTGTTAAAAGCTTGAGTAGGCTTGATTACGTGGCAGGCATGCTTATCATATTGTTAAAAGCTTGAGTAGGCTTGATTACGTGGCAGACATGTTTATCATATTGTTAAAAGCTTGAGTAGGCTTGATTACGTGGCAGACATGTTGTCATATTGTTAAAAGCTTGAGTAGGCTTGATTACGTGACAGACATGTTTATCATATTGTTAAAAGCTTGAGTAGGCTTGATTACGTAGCAGACATCATGTGTGCCATATTGTTAAAAGCTTGAGTAGGCTTGATTACGTGACAGACATGTTTATCATATTGTTAAAAGCTTGAGTAGGCTTGATTACGTAGCAGACATCATGTGTGCCATATTGTTAAAAGCTTGAGTAGGCTTGATTACGTGACAGACATGTTTATCATATTGTTAAAAGCTTGAGTAGGCTTGATTACGTAGCAGACATCATGTGTGCCATATTGTTAAAAGCTTGAGTAGGCTTGATTACGTGGCAGACATGCTTATCATATTGTTAAAAGCTTGAGTAGGCATGATTACGTGGCAGACACCCTGTTACAGAAGAACAAATGTGTCACCAATCCCAGACGTGTACACGAGATGAGTGACAATTAGGCTAGGAACAAAACGGGACTTCAGGGGCTAATTGGTTTAAACTTTCGTAACAATCTGTATAACTCAAGTTAAGAGATTGGCTAATTTGCATAAGCCTTTATCACACGCATGAGCAGTCCGTTAAATATTAACCTGTGTACTACCATTAGTTCAAGCTGTTAAAATAAATAATAGTTCTTTGTGTGCCCGTCACTCGAGCAGTCGACGAGGTATGTGAATGAGATGTTTTGGAGCGGATAGGACAGTGCCCCGAAAACGACGGGGTGACTTTTGAATGGTATTTTGTGAGTGAAAGAAGAAAATCGCTCTTAAACGATGCAATAGTACAATATTTGATCATATACAACAGGAACAGGGATGCATTGACCCTAGACAAAAAAAATAGATGTAAACAAAATGTAAAAAGGACATTAATTTATATTATAAAAAATAATATTGAAATCGGAATGTAGTACTCTATCAAAGAGCTCATTCCTGGTACGGTGTATAATGATTGACACAGTGACAAACTATTCTCTCGAAAAGACTATGTGTAATCGTTAAAAAATTCAGTTAGTACTAGATTCTGAATCACCAGAGTGGCTGTGTCATATTTAACAACTCCACATTGTTCCAAACCATTGTATAACCGAACATGTCCATCGCGTCAAAACAAACCGCTTGTACGTGCTGTACATCAACAAGATGAAGAGTACTTCTCCATGATTGCGCAACCGCTGTGGAATTTTTGGTTGTTGACATATTATTATCAATGGTAGGATTACTTTGTCTTGTATTAAAGTTTATCCACTCAAGCACTTTTTTGTGCAACGGTATTCCGACAAACCTGTACAACTCCACGGCCATCTTGATTGGGTTCGAGGCTATGTCCTCGTACCGTACTAATTTGTAGTTATTTGAGGTCCACAGATTAGATGCATCGACATAGTCGCTGTTGTTTGTCATCCACTCGCAATATTCGCGTATATTATCCGTTATTCCATTGTGTATTCGAGTAACGTGTGTTTTGTTGACCACGGGAAAAACATATCTGGAATTCACAACTCCACGAGGGTCACGAACGAGGTGGATAAGTTTAATGGACGTTCCATACGAGTCTAACAATGACTCGAGTTCTCGAAGAGAGGATGCCCGGATTATCTTTGCTGCTATACTTTGACGTTTAGCACATTCCTTTGAAAGAACGACAGGTGGAACCATGGAACACTGGTTGTACTTTCGACAAACGTTTTGGATAGCTTTACTATAGGCAACTGCTATTTTCCACCGTCGTAGTTCTGTTGCATATTTCGGTGGAAAGCGACACTGTAACAACTTGTTTAATAATTGTACTCCATTGGTGCCATCTACCGACGCGTGCAGTGGTTCGAAATAATAAAATATATTTGGGTTTTGGTTGAATAATTGACCTGTGAACGATGACCCTGTGCGAAATCGTGAAAATAATATAACATAAACATTTTTTCGACGTTTCATATTTTTGCTATTAAGTATTTTATCAAGTCTCGCTTCTTTCCCGTACAGCTGTTGCAAATGTGACGTACCCTTTAATGGTCGCATAATCGTGAAAATTGCGTTGTATCCGTCGTGAAGCAGAATGAAATCCATAGCCGTGGTTACCAAGGAGACTACGCATACCAGTGTCAGCCATTTTCTCAACTCGGCATTCATAGTTAAGCTACAAGCAAAACAACGTGGAATGTCTTATTCATATATGCAATGTTCAACAACTCAAGAATTGCAGCTTAAATAGACATTGACATTGTATTGAGTATAATCTCGCAAAATAAACATGGAATACGATGATAAATCCTTAATTGAACAAAACTATTGGACATTTATTCTTACCGTCTCACTCATTCAGTGAACCGACGTGACACTGTATTATCATAAGGTTGCAAACCATGAGCTCAATAAAAATGATGTTTATAATTACGATCACAATATATTATCTGTTTATCTGCCTGGACAAACTAGTGCGCATGTTAATGAGATCGTGAACAGCGCGGTATGCAACTAACAGCCACTCTGAAGTCGTTAGGAACAGGTGCAGACTACTTAACGAGCATTCACACATTGGAAATTATTTTACAAAAGTAGTTGACTCCCGGTGTGCTTCGGGCGTGGTGACTGCGAAGGGGTGGGTATTCGTTCCCATATTATAACTCAGGGAAAGTACATACAAATTACCATAATACTGATTAAGAGCTGTTTCGACATAGGTCACGAATCTGGAGAGGGCCACATACTAGTATAGTGATAAACGTTCCCTATAGGATTAGTGTCTGTTCTTGATAATGTGACGTGACGCACTGATCTTTCATAGATACGTCTTTCCGTATCCATGTATTCCAAGCAGTGTTGGTGAATGTGCGTGTTTAGACTTTAACAACGCTCAGTTGGCAATCATTAGAATATGCATGTACACGGTTTGGATACCCGCATGATGACACCGTAAAATACTATTCCCGCAGCCAATGAATTACTAATATTTTGTGGAATTTAACATCTTGGTTTTTGGCGTAATTTTGATGAATTTGCAGTAAGCAATCACAAAATGAACGCCGAATATCAAAATACGATTTTCATTTTCGGACGTTTTATTTTATTGAAATGCTAGGATGGGAGTTTTTTTTTTGCACATTTCCAAACGACGGCAAGCGCAGCAACAAATGGTATCAGATCATAAACAAGCACAAGCTACAATGATACCACTGCAGTAAGTTCTATTTCAAGACCCTCAAATATTGTCCTAACAAAAACGCCCACTTCTTAATATTTATACAGTTCAACGCATGCTCGATTCAGACATATGACGTCATATTCTAGAACCAAAGCGACGTTAACTAATTCATGATTATGCAAGTTAAAATGGAGATCGACAAAATTGTTGACACGGAGTGTGTCAGTGCTCTTGTCAAACAGGGGACTAAGGCTGTATCAGTATCCGAAATCTAGACAAATTTCTGAAAGAAGCGTGCGACGATTCCGTCATCAATACGGCAAACATCACCTACTGCGGAAGCCAAGCGAGTGTTCAAAACGTAATAAAAAAAGACGCCGCCATCAGTGCGCGTGGCCCAATCAATTGACTAGCTGTCAGCTAACTTGTCAAACAAAAACATCGACTCGCCAAACAGAAAAGGTTGACGCGCCAAAATAAAAATGTTAAACCACGCCCACTGCTTCTGAGCACATCAAGCTCGTAAGCTGACTACTGAAACTTGGCCGGTAACGTGAGTAACACGGGCAGAAAATTTAAACGAGGTGCTGAAACATCGAGGAGCTACAAAACATTATTGTAACTGACAAATTGTTGAACGGGGAAGATCCGGTCACTGGGAATTGTTCATCTTTCCGTGAAATAGCCGAGAAGTATCGCTCCAGTGACCGGGGCATTCGTAAAATATGGCAGCGATTCGTTCATTGTAGATCAAGCAAAGGCAACAGAGGTTTTTACCATAAGCTTGGTGATGGTGACTTGGAGCTGATCGACACTTTGAAAAGATTACAACCATCTATAACGCCCGGGGGGGCTACTTCCACATTAAGTGGGTAAGGGTGTGAAGCCCACCTCTCGAAAACCATACTCACTTCTAAACCATTGTGTTGCTACTTATATACCCACTTCTAAACACAATGGTTTTCAGCCAAAAAAAAAACAGCTCACAACTTTCGCAACCAGTGGGCGCCCCCGGGCGACACATTTTATTCAGCCTTTTCCAGTATCTGGCTTTGAATATAAGAACCTGTGAAAAGGTAAATAAATGCTACACACTTCTTAACCAAAACATTGATAAAGGACTACCCACTTCTAAACAAACAAAACGTGAAATGACAACCCAGTCGGGCGGCACATACCCGTATTGCACTTCTATGGAAGTAGGCCCCCCGGGAATAATGCCTATTGAAAACCCCCTCCCAAAAAAAAGATTTGTTCTCTTTACCGCACTATAGTACTATAACACGGCTTTGTGGGACATGTTACGTTCCTATGACGGTCTGCACAGTCACGTTGTCTCAAAATATACCAGAAAATAACTCACACTTTCCTAAACGCTATTGTGACTCGTATTTTCTAAATAGACAAATACATGTGATTATAGGAGAAGCATTAAAAACTTCGGAGCGATGGCAAAACTGAAAAAAAAAAATGTACAATCACAATCATTGTTCAGGAATCCATAACATAAACACATCTGCACGCATATTTCTTAAATATTACACGCAGAGGAAATAACCTAGACCTGTCTTTGAACGAAGTGTGGTCGGTTGGTATGGGATCACCAGCTTCACCTGATTACCAGTTGAGCAAGGCTAACCGAGTCGTGACATCGATGTGGTTCGTAACCAGTCTTATGATTGGTAATCACCTTGGTTGTACAATTTTTTAAATAACAATGTGCATTAGTGAATCTGATACCAATCATTTGATCGTGAACTTCAATATCAAACTTTGACAAATCAGCTGGCTTCCACACTAAAGATAATGCTGAAACCAAACCGTACCACCTTAGATAAACATTCTGTGAAACTCCCTTGCCTACAACATCATCCCATTTCAAAATGCTACCTCAATCATTGAATAAATTACCTACATAAATCAATCCAGCATCTACAAATTATTTAAAGTAAATACTACAGCCACCAATTGTTATGTTGCAATTGTTCCATATGCGCTGATTGAGGTAGTGCTCCTCCAATTTATGGCCAGACACTGACAGCCAGGATTTTAACATGTTAAAATGAAATTTGTTAAGTTTTAATGGCAGTGATTTCAGACAAAAATTGCATTTAAGTAGCATTTCAATACCACCATTTTTTTAAAGTTTACTTTGAAGAAACCATTTCCGAAGATGGTGAATATCATGATCAAAATACCATCTAAGCCAACTAATGCGCTGAACATCATAAATAGCAAATATAGCATTTTTAAGTCACCTTGTTTAATACTACCAATAACAGTTTTCCTGGCCACCCCATCAGGACCACCCCAGAGAAAGTTATACATTAATTTGTTAATCTATTTTAATTGGTTCATTTGTGGATCACTGAGATTGAGCACATGCGAGATATTCCCATTGATTTTATAATCTGTACTTTACCTAATAAAGTTAAATTTCGAATTCTCCAAATGTTTAATGATGCATGTAATTTTTCCATAGGCGCTGCAAAATTCATTTCAGCCGCAAGTTTCTTTTCATCTCAGTTACCTCACGAAAACCCACCTCGACACTGGCTTTCAGAACTGCAACCTCTTTAAACCCATTTTCAACAATTTTCTTCAAATCTGCATTGGATACCAACTCCGGCTCCGACATGGCCTCTACCTCGTGGTCGACAAGATGGCTGCTCTCTTCGTTTGTACTTTTGCCGAAAGTTAGTTTGGATTGTTCCTCCTTCTTCTTGTTAAGTTTCGTTCCATCTCCAGGCATACTGCAACACAGGGTCTTGACGATGCAAACTGGGTACACTATATGTTAGGGGGGCGTATCTTTCATGTAAAATCTAAACGTATTTCTAGAGCCGATGTAGAACCAAGTATGCTACTCGGACATCGCGCATGTGCCTCACTGTTTCCGTGTTTACTTCTGTCGGGATAACACCTGCAATATTTTTAACACGGAATAATACGTCTGTTACGTAGTTAACTAATGCAATACTGTCCCAGTCGGTGAGATGTTCTTCAATCCGTCATCCCCATCGATACATTAATATTATCAACCGACTTGGAGGATCGTAAATTTCGGCCATGATACACATATTTCGGATGTTTGAGACCCACGTGTGGCGTGTTATTATGTTAGTCCATTCAAAATAATCTGTCAATCTTTACTGGGTTGTAATGCATCAACATTGACAGACATACTGGCTGATATTGTAAACATATTCCTATTTCTTTCTTATATATCCAGACGTACAAAAGCCGTGATATATTTCTAAACAATTTCTGAACTGTATAATTGTAAATAAGCATGATTATTTTCCTGGGCAAATACGAACGTGTTATATCTATGCGACTTTTCGCCGAAGGTACTATAATTCTCAACGATTAAACCCGTTCAGCTCATGAATGTGACGCTATCTTCAAAAAGGAACTATTGAGATCTTGGCATATTGATCTGATTACTGTTACATGTAAACAAATACATAAGCTGTGACTGTGTTATAGTGTGCCATGCAATATGAATATACACACGTGTCTCAATACTGTATAATGCTCGTCATTATAAGCTTAAATATACCTATTATATGCGGAAACGACAGTTCAGCCAGCTCGTCCGGTTCAGTAGATCAGGCTTAAAACAACTTCGAACAATAAATATAGATAGCGAGCCAGTCTTTTATGCAAGGGGTCGAAAGCACAACGCATAGTCATTAAAGCAGGGGAGTCGTCATCTACACATGCGTCAGATGGCCATAGCGTGTCATTGTTTACAAACAAGCTTCTACCCATGAACCTTTGCGTTTTAGCGTGTGTTGTTATCGTCGCTTGGAACTCAATTCCCGCGCGTGCGCAGGTGACGACCCTCCCGCTTTAAAACCTAGTTTCCATCTTACTGCAATTATGTCTGTCTGTCTCTAGTTGTTTTTGTAATTAATGTCGAGGAGTAAAAAGATGGTCGCCGTTGTACAGCGCGCCCGAGTATTGTGTAAATAAACAGCGTGTTTTACGTGCGTTGTGTGCGTCGCCGCAGTGAACCCCTACCGAACACCACGCGTCGTTACTTTTGAAATTGAACAATTTGTTATAACTCTTATGACATTATTTCGACTAGCGTAAGCGACATTTTACTGTTTCAATGCCAAACTTGGGTATATGTTTATACGAGCAGCCGTATAACTATATTACGCATTGCTATGGGAAATTAAATCTTATACAAAAATTCTTAGGAATGATTATCGGTTGGAAAGAAACTGACTGATCTCAAGGATAACTTCCATGATAGCATACATCTTTAACACTAAATGATTTGCGAATGACTTACGTTGGCTCCAAAAAAAAAACGTTTCGAATAATTATATCCAGCCAAGACTTAAACCCCAACTGCCCTATATAATACGAACGTTTGGTAATTCCCTCAGATGTTTATAGATTAGCTTCTAGTGATGATGATTCGTGTTAGTCCAGGCACTGACGCAAGGTGTATTATTCATAGTTGTATTCATAAACATGTGTACAATGCAACTAAGTTTCGTAAAACGTGTTCTATTAGAAAAAATCTGTTGTAGCACTGAACACACTTCCACTGTCAATGTTATTAAAACAATTCGCGGATGTTGTACCGTTAAACGGTGGTGTACCACGTTACAGCGCGTGTGAAATTCTAACGTGTGCTGTACGGTGACTCTGGCCTGAAGCGCGGTGGTCGTCGCACTGTGCATGTGCGACATTTGTGTTGATAAACACTGACTTCCCCATAATCCAATGCGCTCTTCAAATGGAAATCACAAGTATGAGGTTTGACTTGGGCGTGACTCTTTCGATACCTTTCAATCACCTAAGATATACCTAATTAAAGCTTGGAATGTCTCAATTTGTACTCGTTGATCTGCGCAACAGTCAAAGTCGCCATCTTGTTTATATGAGACCCATATATATCGCGCATGCGTGGCCCGACGCCTACCGGCTTTTAAAGGGC